AGAGGCAGAGGCAGAGGCAGAGGCAGAGGCAGAGGCAGAGGCAGGCAGATCTCTGTGAGTTTGAGGACAGCCTGGTCTATAGAGTAAGTTCTAGGACAGGCTCCAAAGTGACACAGAGAAACTCTGTCTTGAAAAACAAAAAACAAAAACAACAAAAGAAAATAGTGACAGCAAAAATTACTTTCTGTCTAAGTTTAGAAACCAAAAACTCTTTCAATCAGCAAATTGTGCTTTATTGATATTTTAATTAGAAATGAATTACATACAATAATATGCATTTAAAGAAAAGGCTGATATGCCCAAAGACATATATAACAATATTAATTATAATTGTTTCATATAACACATGTAATTTTATTTGAATGCACAATTGTCAATCTGAGAAAATACTGACTTCCTTGCACACAGTGAATTTCTTACAGAATAACAGAAGTCCAGGATACATTCACGTACTAAGAAAGAAACAATTGTTTTTTGTACTTGAAGGCTTCTGGAGATAAAACAGTAACTTAAGTGTCTGAAAATAATAACCTAATTGAGTCCTTTCCAGAGTGTCCTTAGCAAACACTTCAGACAACATGAGTGTTTGGGGGGAAATGTCTCATTAACTTCTGCCCTTTAGTGAGGAGAAAACACAGCCGGCATCTCCTCACGCATAAGATGCCCCTGAACAAACAGCAGATTTAAAGGCTAATCCAGAGTTTATAAAGCAAGATTCCCTCATAGTCTTTGACTTCCCTCCCTTTCCTCCTCCCTCTTTTCCTTTCTTCCTCCCCTTCTTTTCCCCTCTCCCCACTTCATCCCTTCGGTCCTCCCTCTCTCCTTCCCTTTCTCTTTTTAAAATCTTTTCTTTAATTTTATCCTGTGTTGTACAGTCCAAGAAATTTTATCCCCATCAGGAGCACAGGAAAAAAAGTAACTTCATGAGTCCATGATCCTTGTAAAAGTACTGTTTTCTTTTTCCTTTTTGATAGCTGATTTATTTGGGAACAGGTGTATTGGAATGTGATTTGAACATGTCAGAGATGAATAACTGCTGGAGCATGAAGTCCACGTTCACCTTGCTCACTTTCAATATTGCAAATTGACATGCAGTTTGACAATGATGAAATTATGATGTCAATACAACTTCATTTGAAAACACCAGTTTAGAGAGTTAAATAAATCTGGATAGTTTTGATGTTAACACCTATGTTTTTTTCTCTATTGCTATAAAACCCTATTGCTTTTTAGCTAGGAATATAAATAGCCTTTTTCAAAGGCCCTCCACATAACAATCTAATTATACAATGATCAGTTGCATGGCATTAGACAAATTTTATAGTATCCCTAAACCTCACTCCTCTCATTGGTAAAATACAGGTGATAATGTTATTGGGAAGATCAAAAAAGATTGTGCATTAATTCAATAAACTCATTTATCACTGTGCCAGTGAAGAATAATGGGCAAGTAAATGCTAGCTCTGGTTCTTAACCAACTATCCCCCAGAGATGAAGACACTCAGCAAAAAACTCAGGGCGTTTGTGGCTGGCTTCTCTTTCCTTTTTAGTTTCTTTCCTTTTTTGGATATAGTTTTTTGGATGTGTTCATTGTGGGGATTGAATTCAGAACCTTATGCATACGCAGCATACTGTACCACTGAGCTATACTCCCCAACCCTGCACTAAATTTTGTGAGTACTTCAATGTGTACAAAAATCACTCAGGGCTCAGGAATGACTTTGTTAAAATTATTCAATATAAAATATAAGTAAACGTGTGATATTTTGATATTTTTAAGTCATCATGGAAATGAAATTTATACTTAAACAATTTTACCCTTGCTTAAACCCTCTTAGATATCATTTATGGAAAGCACCATAAGGTACAGATTTGTAACCATATCAAAGAAAAATCAGTGTCATTGTTTCTATTTGACTAAAAAATCAAGTCATCCTTGACAGTGAGGCAGATCATGTGAGATGCTCTGTTTCATTTGAAAGAACTTTTTACGTCATGAAATGCTATATAAATATAAAATTTCACCAAGTGGGGTATTAAAAGATGAATACCCTCACCAAGAATACTAAAAATGATGCCTCGGGCTGTTAAAGAAATTCTGAAAACCTCCTAAGGCTCTGAGCTCTCACAGTAGTGTTCTGACATGTGTAGTCTCCAAAGTGAAGAGCTGGAGGTAGACATCGCACACTTGAGAACATAAAATGTAGTCTACAAAATGTACCTATTGATTCTATTGCTTCTCTGAATTCTCTGCTCTTATCCATTTCCAGTAACGCCCCAAATTATCTTTAACCAGCTAATTTTGTCAATATGAATCTTAGACTCCTGAGCTGTGCTCTTCACACATTCTTTAAAATGAATTCCCCCTCATTTGGAGACCCAGACATTTTTCTATAGAAAACTGACCTTAAGAGGGGCAAGAGTACATGAGTGATTTAATATTAATTTTCTCCTGAGATAGTGATCTGAATAAAGGGCTGAGATTGGAGGGGAATTTGTAGAAAAAAATAAATTTTAGTTTGTAATTTGTGGCGTCTGATGAATTGAGTGTAGATGAAGGGTCAAGGACTAACCATTTCTGACTGCAACATTAGCCTAAGAAAATGACACAGAGAATCAGTGGGTGAAATACTGTTCCCAGTTTTCAAACATGCTTGAGTAGACAACATAATCTATATGAGCAGTTAAAAACATTGCAATTTAAACTGACAACTCTCCAATCACCTGATGGAGAACCTTAGAGAGACAAGGTTTGAGCACATATTGTTTCTTTATTTGGGGAAATTAATTTTGCCTCTGTCATGTTGGCTGTTGAACTGAGGCCTTCGGACCCTTGTCAGAGGTCATTTTAAATTCTTCTGAATCATTTGCTTAAGAAGCTCAGCCTTTCACTTCCCTTTCCTTTGCTTTGTATTCATTATACTTCCTAGCCACAGCCGATGTGATACTTCTTAATAAAAACTGACTTATCTCTTCCTCCTAAGTGCAGCTTCAGAAGCATCCTATCAGTGTCTGCGGAGGCAACTTATCATAGCTGAGAAATTAGGGATGGTGGATTAGTAACTTTCCCGCTGAGCAATAGGAAGAGAGCCAAAGCCTTTCATGTTGCATGTTCTGTTCTATTACCCATTGCAAGATATTCATCAGATCTCATGCAAGGATAGCCAACTGTTTGCCCACATGATGCTTTAAAAAAACTAGCAAATAACATTTTCAGAATGAGTAAGTTAGGAATAAACTTTATTAGGAAAAATCACCATAATATTTTTTTAAAATTTCTCACCAAATAATCAACTTGGAGTATACAAGTGTGCTTCCAGACATAAGTAGATCTTTTAGGTAAAGAGAAAGGAGGAGACAGAGCCATGATACTACAATGAATTTTAAATATAAAGGGACATCACATAGGTACCCCTGAATTACTATGCCCCGTGACAAAGCTATAGTGTCAAAAACACTGTCAAGCTCTTTCAGTGAACTTTTGTGAAATCACCCTGCTAAGCTACTCTATAACTCACAGACTTTTAGTAACTTTTTTCTTTAACTGGCAAAAATGGAAGACTCATTTAAAAATGCATGCATAATACTTGCCATTGTGTGCTCTGACTTAATGTTATTTCTATTCCCAGTGCTTTAAGAAATACTAGTTGTTTTCTGAACCTGGCAAACATACTCTCAAATGCCAACATTGTCAAATTTAAAAGGAAGGAATTTTAAATTGAGAAGAATAGAATTACAGATATACCAAATCCTTCTTATTCAAAGTCACTTCTGAGCTTTTTGCAGTTTTAGATTTAATGTTAGAATTTAAGAAGGTTTAAGTTAAACACCAGGAATCTGAAACTGTCTATTAGAATCTTGATTTCTAGGTGCTCTGTGGACATTCCAGTTGGCGTCTAAGAAGTTAGCCTGACACACCTTTTCCTAAATTCAATCATTACTTTTAAAGATATCTTCTATTCCAGGCATAAGGAAATATGAGATAAATCAGGACTCCAGTAAGGTATGTCCAGACAGAAGAGTTCCATTACCAAAGCCCGAGCAACATCAGCATCCCCATTAGAGTGAGTGTCATAGACTCAGTTCCTGATGCACATCCTGCGCCAGCTGTATCCAGAGATCTTCCATGGTCTGCTCGATGGACTTGCTTGACATCACTGAAGTTCATGTTGTCTGGCAGCCCTGGAGGACACATAATAAAGCACAGGGTGAGGCGTGGCTACCTCATCATGAAAGTCTAGACTAGTTCGTATAACCCATAGGCCCATGTCAAAGTCTTCTTGCTTTTCTTGTCTTCTCTGCTTTCACCCAGACTTCCAAGCTATATGATTCACAGTCCTGCCCTACTCTCATTGTAGAAGTGACGTCTTTATATGGGTGTCCTCAGAAATGCTGTAAAAGCAAAGCAAAACTATTTTGCTTAAAAAAAAACAAATCTTTGGTGATATTTCTCTAATGTCATTGAGTGGCAAAGAAGCAAAAAAAAATTAGTGAGATATATTATCCTGAGATATTCCATTACTGTTTTTCCCATTCTGTCGACTATAGGACTAGCAACAAGTTTTCTCATGAGAATTCAACGAGGAAACATGAAATAATTAAAGAAGACTGCTTAAAGTTGAATTTCTAGATATCACCTTATATCAGAATAAAGTAAGCATGGGGCTTTTTGCTTACTTACTTTGATTTTTCATTAAATTTTTATTAAACACATTTACAAAATACAAAGTGATGTCATGATATAACACAATGTGGAACGAGTAACTAGTTTTGTATTGTGACTTTAAATTTACTAAGCAATTTCAAAATGTACAATACCATATTATGAACTGTGCTTACTGCTTTGTATTATGTCTGAAACATGTGTACCTCCCACGTGAATTTTACACATCCTCTCTCAAACATTGTCCTTCTTGGCTACCACCTCTTCTTCCTCCCCAGCTAGAAGCCTAGGAGCTCCACAAGTCCCAGGAAAGAAGCATTCTACACTCTGTTTTTATGAGTGTGACTGTTCAGATTTCACATATGAGACTGGGGATAGGGACACTATTATAATATCCCCAAATCAATGAATTGTGTAGCCTTTTGTGCACATAGAGGTATATGAAGACAGCCATGTAGATATCTGTCAACATATAAGAGAACTCATCAAAAGAAACACTGGCAATTGAGGATAGAGATGAAACACTCATTTAAATAAAAAAGAAATAAAAGGCAGGTGAAGTGATCTACTTATTTTTTAATTATTATTCCTGAGTATTATGGAAGCTTACAGGCTGGATAGAGAATGGTCCATAAATGATTTACAATGAACCAATTGTTTTCTTCAGGTGGTAAGTGTTAGTGCAACACACTGAAGGAACTGCTGTTTTAATCCCTCATTATCTATTGTTGTCAATGTTCTAAGGTCATGTGACTCTGAGTTATGTCATGGCATGCTGCTATCCATCACAATGAAAAGATTTCAACTCAGTGTTACTACAGCCACAAATATTGACACCATAATTACACTGAGACTGAAAAAAAAGGCCTCATCTAAGGAAAAGTCAATATTTATGTAATTAGGTCAATACCCATATATAATTCAGAAGGTAAGCCCCACTGCACTCAGGGATGAGAGCATTAAGACAAAGCAAGCTCTGCTGATCTGCTGTATTGATTTTGCAGCCTGAGTTCTGGCATTATTATTCATTGTTTGGGTACTTGTTTTGCCCTTCTGTGTCGTTAGGCAAGATGAATAAACTAGCAACTCATTTTTTATAGGGACGGGAGTTGAATGTGAATATTTTAGTCATGGTTTAAAACCTCTTGCTGAGCTAGAGCTTAACCAGGAGCTAAAAGGACTCCAAGCACCTAGAAAAATGCCCCCTCTCCAAGATAACTATATATATTGAAGCTTTACAGGATTTACTTGTCTGTTTTTAAGCAATGTGAGTTGAAGTTTGGATTGGATTCATGAATAGCTTTTTTTTCTTCGGTCTTCTGAGCTGGTGTTTCATTCCTTTCTTTACGAGCTAGGCACTGATCTAGGTTCTGAGAACACAGCCATCTACTCACACATGCAAGCAGACTAAGGTCTTATGCCTCCAAGTTGGACTAAATCAGGAGGGCTGTGTTGCTTTCAACCCAAGACTCTGTTTTAGTATCTGAAGTAGGTATGTTATCAATTGATGTAAGAGTCTCATGACTTTTGAATAAGAAGTGAGCATGCCAGACACAGCTATAGTTATGATGCTTGTCACAGCCTGGTATTTCCATCTGTAAATAAATATAATCATGCTGAAAAAGCTAATATAAAGACTGTTTGATACAGTGATTGTTTTCTAAAAGAAATTTAAGTAAGTTTGGAAATTATGCCAAAGTTAACCAAAGACTCATTAAAGAAAAATTTGTTCTGGATGTAATATTTTAATAGATTAAATAAAAACAAAGAAAAATTTGAATAGTACTTTCTATACATAATAGCAACATACAAAGGTACTGACAAATCCATATTTCTTCCTGTAGTGGTTGTCAGTCTAGTTGGGGAATAAGAAATTGTATTATCAAAATAAATTGTATTATCAAAATTGTATTATCAAAAAATTCAGTACAGTCTTAAAACTTGGGCACTCTTCTTATGGGCGGTGCTGTGAAGGCTACATAAATGATGGACTATGTTCAGGGAGATGGACACTGTTAAGGCGATGGTGAAGTGTGTTAACTCAGTGACATCTGCAATACAATTTCAATAGCAGTTCACAAATATTAACTGCAGCAATCCCATAAGGTAGACAATGTCCTAGCAGGCTGAGTAGATGAAGAAGTAGAGGAACAAGGAGCAGTGACAGTAGATTTGAATTCTGGACCTGGAATGTGTTCAGATGACTCCCAGCCCCATGGATTCTTTGCACATTACAAGACACTGACACATCATCATTTATGTTGAGAACAAAGGAGATGTTCTTTTATTCTTCCTTGACATTTGGAATGGCTGATAATATATGCCAATTTTCTGTGTTAGTTAAGCAACAGGAATTATTCAGGGGTGGAGGACATGTGGCAGGCGGAGGTAGATCAGGGACCTGAGGATTTGGGAGGATTTCAGATCTTCTTTGTCATGAACAAGGAAGCTTTTTCATTTAAGCAAAAGGATATGGTATTTTTCTCTATATATCTCTCCTTCATCTATTCACACACTATAAAATTTCTCCACATTTCACTAAGGCATGAAGACTGTGCCTAATGATAAGTTATTTTAAACAAGGAAAATTGCAGGGACTGAATTGTCAATATTGTCAATTTGTTTACTTATTCACAAAATCTAGTCACGGTCTATCAGAGACTGTACTAGAGTTTCAATACATAGTATGCACTCTAACCAACTTCATAGTTTGGTGGATCTAAAAAAAGAAAGAAAGAAAGAAAGAAAAAAGAACAAAACTTGAACACCAGAAACCTTTTTCAAAATGCTGAAAGGTAAGGAGAGATTTAAATGGACCACAGAACAGTCTCTGAAATCAACACTAAGCTTATCATGGTGTCAAGATAATTTCTTTCTAGAGTAATATTCGTAAAATCATGGCACCTTGTATCTGTTGTACAGTGTGGTTCGAATGAATATTGTTGAAGTGGTAATTGAATAATGAACATCTTGCCACATCCGAATGTGTTTAGCTTAATTATTTCCTTCCCATCTAAAGATTAGGAACAGATGTAGAAATGGTTATTTATTCAAGGTCTCTTGGCCATGAGTGAATCTCAGTATGATCCACTCATCAACTCTAGCACCATGCTCATGAGAATGCACATTCAAAGTTTTTCCAGAGCATGGGTAAATAAGTAACTTTAGCTGTTCTTTAAGATGACAGAATTTTAAAAACTTTGGAATGAAAGCACTTTTGGTGAGAAACGAGAGTTCATCACAGCATCTCTATGGGACCAAAAATTAAAGTATAACAGTGAAAAGGTGAAAGAAAAGCATACATTTGTAATTGTATTTATTCATAACTGGTGAACAATCTTATAGAATGTTAAGGCAGGATTTATAAAAAACATTCGTGGCTTTGACTCTATAAAAGAAAGAATTTTTGTATGATATAACTAACAATTGTAAGAGCAAAGGACACTGCAGACTAGAGATAATACACACTACATATTCTGAAAAGTGAATAGCATTTTTAATACAGAATTCCTGCATTCCATACAAAACCCACACATGCTCTGATAGAATAATGGTAAAAAAAATCAAGGGTAATTACAAGAAAGACAATCTGAATTAAGACTAAAATGTTATAGTGAAACAAATAAGTGTAATTTTTATACCAAGAGGTGTCAGTTATCTTTTGTTCAGTTCATAGACAACAGAATATATTAGTAGGGAGACTTTAGGGAAAGTTTCCAAAATATATCAAAACTGTTTAAAATTTACCTTTTTCCAGACACAATAATTCCAAATTTTCAAAGCTGGTCTATGGAAATAATTTAGAAAAAGTGCACACAATTATCCATAAAGTGCATATGTTACTAAAAATTATTAACCATTATGTGTCTTTTAATATAAAATCATGTTAAAATATGAAGTACATTGTTTTATTAAAAACTATTAAAATGGATTTTGGTAGAATTATGTATGTGCTAGCAATATCTTTAAGGTTCTTTTATCTCAATCAAATATCACCAAATTACTATGAAAGTAGAAGTTCTCTCACTAATTTTTGTATTGACATGGTAAACTCCTAGTAACAATTTTGTGAATTAATAAACTGAGAAATAAAATAAAAGGCAGAAAATTGTAAAGTTGTAAAGTCACAAAAATATGTTTCCTTAAACTTGCTTCTTTCATTATAAAGGCCAAGATTATATTGAACTGACTGAGAATGTGAAATAAAAATGAGAATTAGATATGAAGAAGTTGTAGATAATATATATATATATATATATATATATATATATATATATCACATTGTAAGAAAAATTGAAACAAATTTTTAGAATAAAGTTGCTATGGAATTCCAACCAGATCCTTTTCCTGTGGAAGTAACTTGACCAGAACCTCTTCCTTAGTGACATGACAGGTGAATTGTTTAAAAATCAGGAATGGTGATTTGAAAGAAAATGGCCCCCAAAAAGAGTGGCACTATTAGGAGCTGTGGCCTTATTGGATTAGGTATGGCCTTGTCAGAGGAAGTATATTGTAGTAG